CCAGCCGCAAGCGCGTCACGCTCGGCACGCAGCCCACCGTGCTCAGGAGCTTCAGGTACACCAACACAAACACGCACGCATGAACGTACACAAACACGCACGCATGAACGTACACAAACACGCACGCATGAACGTACATAAACACGAATGCATGAACGTACACAAACACACATGCATGAACGTACACAAACACACATGCATGAACGTACACAAACACACATGCATGAACGTACACAAACACACATGCATGAACGTACTGAAAGGACATTTATATAACTTGTAACCACGCAATTAAGTTAAACACTCATGTCACTGCTTCCCACCAGAATGGCGCCTCATTTCAGTATGTCTGAATGACATTGACAGCTGTCATAGGGACGGGTCGCCTATGCCGATGTTCTAGTATTGCCCGATTTTTCTTAACAGTACTAAAACTTTTAAGCATCTTACCAATATAAATGCAAAAGATTAGATAGATGGATGTTTGTTAGAGTTTGTAGCCTACACTGCTAAACGGATCTCGGTGAAATTTAACATAGATGTAGAGGATAGTCTGGTAAAACACATAGGCTAGTTACTGTTGAGATTTCATTTATACATGGAGTCTCTGAAAGCTAGTGGTGGTGCTGATATCCAGGGACAGATTTTCTACCAATGAATCGAAGTTTTCCAATAATTTCCGCAGGTCTCTGTCGACGACGAACATCTTCGCGTGTTCCGACCGGCCGACGGTGATCTTCTCCTCCAACCATAAGCTGGTCTTCTCCAACGTGAACCTCAAGGAGGTGACGCATATGTGCTCGCTCAACGCACAGGCATACCCTGATAGGTATGTTCAGTATGTACTTAGTCCTAGGTACAGTTAGGGAAATTGGCGGTGCTGGTGATTAGCTATAGTCGTTTGAATTAAGACGACGCAGAACAATAAGTACACATCTTTGTTAATATGTCAGTACGATAAAATGTCTATTAGTATAAGGCCAATTCATTTTTAACATTTCCACGTCGTTTTCATATCTCTTTGCTACCAAATTGGTTATTTATAAGAGACGGAGTTTGTCTCGTTGCTAGGAACAAGACAATTTTTTTGTAACTACGGATTTTCTGGGACTTTACCTACAAATCTTATTTATAACTGTGATAGTAAAGGTGGATGGATGTTTGTTAGAATTTATAGTTAAAAGAAAGGACCGATTTGATGAAATTTGCCATAGAAGTACAGGATAGTCTGGAAGAACACATAGGTTACTTTTGATCCCGGAAATAGTACCGTTTCCTGTGGGATTTTTTTTTATATCTACTCGATAACTGATCAATTATTGAAAATTTTATCCTTGAAAAATAACACACGATTCTATCACATTAAAAGTAGAACTAAAGAATAAATACAAAAGGAAACTACATAATGATTGAATATAGCAGTTATTTCTCAATATATAATTGAAATAACAATATAAATTCCAGTTTAGCTCTAGCGACGGACAGCACGGTGACCATCGGCACCATCGACGAGATCCAGAAGCTGCACATCCGCACCGTGCCGCTGGGCGAGACGCCGCGCAGGATCGCCTACCAGGAGCCCTCGCAGGTACTCCCACTTCGCCTAAATAGCGAACACACCTACATAGATAACATGCACGTAAAGATTAGTCTTTGTTTTAAAAAGAGTTTACTTGTCTTTAATATTTTCTAAGTCATTCCAGGCGCATTTTATATTCTGGATCCTGTTTTAATGCCTTTTATCTACATTCCACACACTTATGTTACATCCTGTATTTAATCTTTCAAAGTGGTAGTGCTCGCTTTAACATTTTAGCACTGCAGGGTCGGCACGCCCCCAGTAATACCACGACCACACAAGACAGGCGTGAACTGGAAGCAATTCCGTGTACAGTCTGATGAGTGTGATGCCGGAGGCCTAATTTAAGTCCCTTACTCTTTATCACCCTTTTCTTATAAGGAGAGGATGGGAAGGGGAAGTGGATTTGACGGTGGAGGAGATGCATAGGAAGGGGAAATATCCTCTTTATGTGCGTCTCCTCCTCCGTCGTATAAGGGTAGGCAACGCATCTGCAATTGCGGATGTCTATGGGCAGCGGTCGCTTCGCTATTTTGGCGGATACATGTGGCCGCTTGCTCGTTTGCCACCTTTTGTTATAAAAAAAAAAGATGCACGTAAAGATTAGTCTTTGTTTTAAAAAGAGTTTACTTGTCTTTAATATTTTCTAAGTTATTCCAGGCGCATTTTATATCCTGGATCCCGTTTCAATGCCTTTTATTTACATTCCACACACTTATGTTACATCCTGTATCTAATCTACAGTTAATAAAATTAAAGTGTCTGTATGTAACAAAAAAAATCAAGAAGACGCTAAGATTATGTATTTGCATCAATTGTAACGAAAATCCCATTTAATACGTCTAAAGCGGCAGAGATTTTTCAATTCTTTTAGATCTTGCGGTACCAAGTGTAGGACACCCCGTATGTAATACATTCCTATTCGCACTGTAAGCGATACGTACCAGTTTTAGACCTGGTTTCTCATTTCAACGTTTTATAGTGCACTCTGTGTATAATACATTTCTCATTCCCACTATAAAGAGATACGTACCAGTGTTTTCGACCTGGTATTTATCCTTATGTATACTTTAGTTAATTATTTTGTTATAGACGTTCGGTGTGATAACGATGCGCATAGACAAGGTGGAGTGGTCTTCGGGGCTGGGCACGGCGGTCTCCACGTCCGCCGGCAGCGCCAGCGGCGCGCCCCCGCAGCCGCCCAAGCACGCGCCCGCCGCGCTCGACCTCGAGACACACAACCTGCTCATACTCGACCAGCACACATTCGAAGGTAGCCTCTAATAAAGCCGAACACATGTTGGTAATTACTTCCAATCGCTGGTATGCATAAAAAACGATGACTTAAAATTCGAATTTGTAGTAACGTCTTATTACGCGTTGTCTCAATGTGTACAAAACATTAAAGCGAATGTCTCTTTATGATATGGAACACCGCCAAACTCCCTAAGTGTACAACTGTATTATCAAGAACTATTGGTTTTTATCCACTTTATATGTAGCCATTTATTTACCGACTACGTACGTTATGTACGTTTTTGACTGCCATGTTAACTATGTATGTTTTCGACTGTTCTACCGACTATATATGTTTTCGACTGTTTTACCGACTATGTATGTTTTCGACTGTTCTACCGACTATGTATGTTTTCGACTGTTCTACCGACTATGTATGTTTTCGACTGTTTTACCGACTATGTATGTTTTCGACTGTTCTACCGACTACGTATGTTTTCGACTGTTTTACCGACTATGTATGTTTTCGACTGTTCTACCGACTATGTATGTTTTCGACTGTTCTACCGACTATGTATGTTTTCGACTGTTCTACCGACTATGTATGTTTTCGACTGTTACCGACTATGTATGTTTTCGGTTGTTTTACCAAATATGTATATTTACGAATGTTGTTACCGCCAGTGTTACACGCGCACCAGCTGATGACGAGCGAGTTCGCGATGTCGCTGGTGTCGTGCCGGCTGGGCGACGACCCCAACCACTACTACGCCGTCGGCACCGCCATACTCAACCCGGAGGAATCGGAGCCAAAACAGGTAATTTCATTTGATTATTTACTTGTATTGGCTTATTATGCATTTTTTCGTCTAATTTATTCACTTCCTAAGTGTAAAGGCGTGAAATTATATTCCTCGTAGGTGCAAAACTACGTAACTATTATGACTAAATTGATAAAAAAATCCGCATATTCTGGTCTAACGATGTCGTGATATCTCAACCCGTTCCAAAAATATAGTCATTTTGGTGTTCCTGGTAAATTATAAATTCACTCAAATAGTTTTGAAGAAGGTAAAAAATATATATATACTAAAACGTCTGAAATTATTGACGGCAGTTTTTTTTCTAATAAAAAGGAATAAAAATGGAACGCGAGAAAACAATATATATCTATATTTTCTATGATTTTTAGATGTTTAGTTTACATACGGGGACGATGTAAAGCGTGTGGTGCTTGTGTTCAGGGTCGCATCCTGCTGTTCCACTGGAGCGAGGGTCGGCTGGTGCAGGTGGCG